TTATTATTTTTTAAAAATGTTTTCTTGGCAACCTACATCACAAATGTTGGTTTTTTGGTACTGAAATGAAGAGAAAAGCTTAAAATAAGTATAAAGTGGTAGAAAACGGGAATGATATTATAGAATATTTAGATGAAATTGAAATAAATAACGGATTAAATACAGACAAACGTAAAAATTTATATAATATTTTTATAGAATACTTAAACAATTTAAATAGAGAACATGCACAACAAGTTTTCAAATTTATATGTGGAAATATTCATATACCTCCAAAATTTCCAATATCTGTGAGTAAATGTTTTTAATATTTTATATTTAAAGAAATTTATTAAATGTTATTACATTTTATATACCAGATTTTGTGGAAATCACCTTCTAAATCATCACCATTATGTAGACTACCAAATTCATCAACATGCATTATTAACCAGTTGGTATTGTCTGATACATATGATGATGATGAGATGGATATTTTCATCAATGATTTGAATGCTGCTTTTCTTGCTGATAATGTTGGTTTTCACAAGGGATGTCTAAAGTTAAATAAAATTAATTAATTTTTTTATTGAGTTCATCATACAAGGAAAATTTTTTTTCTATTAATTCATTTCAATGGTATCGGATGCCTTCAAAAATTATTATATTGAGATTGAGATTGAAATTTTCAATCCATGATCAAAAATTATTTTATCAATATCAAGATGATTGACAATTATTAATTAAAAATGGAATTTTTATGTCTCTTTTCTCTTTTTATTAATCATCAAAGAAATGAATTGGACCTTGAACTTACAAATACCAATTCTAATGATTTTAGTATTGATGTCTTTGTTTTTTGGGTACTTCAATATTTAAAAAAATTTTTTTTACTATTGAAATTTCATATTAAAATTCAATCTCAATCTCAATCTAATAATTTTTGAAGGTGCCCATTGTAATTACAATTTTTGTTCTTGAATAAGATAAGAGAATAAAAGTGAAATGACATAGACATAATATTTTATTATTAATTTCATATACCAAATGACCTTGGTCATTTGAAAACAGCAAATGACATTGTAATTTGTCAACATACAGTTGGTTCTGGATATAGTGAAGCATTTGTTTTTAGAAAAAGCTTCATTATACAGTATGATTCATTAACACTTATAAAAGATTACTCAAATCCAGTAACACTGCTTTTTTTCTTACTTGGGGTGGATTGTATGATTTTTAGTTTTGATCTACTATTTTTTTTTTTTTGTAATAAATAAATAATAAATAAATTTGTTGTTTGCCTATATTTATCAATTTTTACTAAACACAATTTTTTGGGAAGCATGAGATGAAAAAAATGAGATGTTTCTTATGATTTAGTTAAAAAATTTTTTTTTTTTTTACTCTTTGAAATGATTAATATTACACATATTGTTATTATTAATTATTTTTTTATTTATATATTTATTTTATTACTAATACTATATATTCACTCTCATTAATTCCGATGTATATAAGATCTAGATGATTGCATAACAATATATTAATAAATAGTATTAATAATAAGCACAGATTGTACTTGTAAAAACCAAGATTTGTTTTTTATATACAAGCTAGTAATAGCCTACTTAACTTTTAAACATTTCTATTATAGTGTTGCTATGATAGTTTCATTCCATCAATTAATATTATAATAATTAATAAATTAATAACCTATAAATAATTATAAATCAGTCTCTTATAATTAAAGTCTAAATTTTTCTAACACAACCTTTCAAATAGTTATAAGTGACTTTGTAGGAACACTTTGGCACAATTGTTGCCGCTGAATTTGTTTTAGTCTGCATACTAGTTGGAAGAAAATCTTAAAATAAGTGTGAAGAAAAGAAACGCTTCTGACCTAGCGTAGAATAACCAATATTTAAGCTAACCTTTTCTTTTAACTGTTGTTAGAAAGTTCTAGTCTGGCTCTAAAAATTTTATTATGGTTGAAAACCGCTTGCTATATGAAAAACGGAGAATTTTTTTTTTGAAGTGGACGATAATAATTTTATTCGTGTAACGTTTATATTGAATGACATTTGATTTGCAATGTCCTGCGACTATTATAGTAGGTATTCCTTAAAAAAAAGTTGATTATTAATCTTTTAGAAAACAAGGTGATGCTATTCCATATTACGTCAATTATATATACCTTGAATTTTTTCTACACCTTTAGAAAATCTTAACTCTTTCGTCAAAAATCTGTTGCTATTAAAAAGAGACGAGGTCACATGTCCGTAATATGATTGGCTGGCCTTCGATATATTCGTTTTATTCTTTACCTTTTAATTTCAAGTTTAATCCATAACTGTTGCATGGCTTATATTTATAACTTAGTTGGAAAAACTTGATCTGATTTCAAAGAGTTTAACATTGTCAATGATGTAGTTAAAAATATTAAGAAGGCATTCATTTATCCTAGTGCTAGAAAAAGATGACATGAATTCTTAGTTAGAAATGCTATTTATTTCCATCCGAAACATTCTCATCATCACCAATAATGCCATCATCATTGATTTCAAGTTCTTCTTCAATATCAACTAAAGTTGTCTTCCGAAACTCTTGAATTTAGAATTATTCGAAATTAAAACCATTCTAAACTGGTTTAGAAAATGAGATAAACTGTTTCGAAACTCCTAACAATCCCAAATCAAATAAATATTCTTAATCTTTATTTTCACAATTACATGCTTTGCGTTTGACTCCAAAATGTCCCGGATGTTTTGAAGGATAACATTCAAAATATTGCCAAACTGCATTTTTTGGTTGCACGCCATGTTTTTTTGAATTTGATGAACTATTTATATCTACATCAGATTATATATATTTTTAAGAAGAAAATAATTATATTAGAACAAATAAGAATTGTTATATTTTTATCAATTTAATTAAAATGATTTCGATTTACGAAATAGAAACTTGCATGAAAAGAAAATCGGAAAAATAATTGATTCGCGGAAATTATCTCAAACGGACCTTTAATTCTCAGATTAAATTTAAATGAAGAAATTTAAATGACTTGATCACTTTAGAAATAATTCAGTTTCAAAGGTAGTTTAGAAAGGCAACTCTAATATCAACTTCCTCAACACAAAATAAAAGTACTCCATCACCACTTCTAGTAAAAGCAAGATGGTGCTCTTGGTCTTCTGGTTATGTCCTCATATTGGTTATTTTTTCTTGAAGAATCAGCAATAAATGATGGTAGTAGGACAATTAAAGACCTTGTTTCATCAAAACAATATAATTTATTTAGAAATTGTAAATTTTTTTTGAGCTTTTAATGCCAAAAAGCAAGTTTAAAGTTATCCATACAAAATGTTAATCATCCATGATAGTCTTTTAACTAATTCATACAATAATAAATTTGTTACAGGTATTGAATTTGGAATAAACCAGGATTGACCATGTTATCAGTCCATTTGTGTAGCATTTTAACCATTTAGTATTTTATTAATGGCAATGGACTGGACCAAAACCCATTGGTCTTGATGGATCCAGTCTATTGCCAACCCTGGAATAAACCATTAGATCAAACAAGTGTTATGTTAAATAACGGTGTCAATAATCCACTATTTGGCAATGAAATGTTAGACAAATCATAAAATAATCAAATTCATCTCAATTATCTTTAAAAAAATTTTTCAGAAGCATATAAAGTTGCTTTAAAAAAATTTGAGAAACACATCAATAATTACTTAGCAATCAATCCATATGATGTTTTGACCTTCAGTATTTAAATTTTCTAATTCACATCATGACATGAGTTTATATAACACTATGTCAGAACTTGGTGACTCATCAAATGATTTAATGGCAGAATGAGTATTTTATTGTGTTCTTGATGAAATCTATGGTATGGATTTTGACTTAAATTCATATTGGAGGGAAAAAAACCATATTTTATCAAATTTATCAATATTGGCAGAAACTTATACTTGGTTGCCAATATCTGGTGTGAAAATATTTTAAATGATAAAACACATGCATTTTCTATTGAAATGGTCAATGTTTTATATTTCAATAAGAATACAAAATTAATGATCTGCACTGTGACGCACACGATTTACTTTTTATTTTTCCAAATACAAAATACCATTTTATTTTTTTAATTTTAATTAAATATACCATATTTTTTGTTATCTTGAGAATGTCTTCGTCTTCTTGGAACAATGATATCCGTGTAGTTGTTTGTATAGGTAATGAGGTGGTTTATTTTGTTGAAATGGGAATTTTAAAGTGAGAAACACTATTTCTTATTTATTGTATTTATTTAGATTTCGGAACAACATATTCTGTAAGTAAAAAAAACTTGTAATGATCTTTTTTTTCAATTAACTGATCAAAATCATAATGATAAATTTTTCAGGGATTCGCATATGCAAACTTAGCCAACCCTGAGATCGTAACAAATGAAACATGGACAGGTTATTCTGGTAGATTGAAAACCAATACTGTGCTTCAATATAACGATTCATTTGAAAAGGTTGTGGCATGGGGACAGCCTGCATTGGCAAAACGTGAACGTAGAGGAAGAAATAATAATCTAAACACTTCAAAAGTAATTGCAGAGTTGTTTAAATTGCATTTAGGTAATGTGCCTGATCATCAAAAAACAAAATTGCCTGGAGATTTAAGTCATAAACGTGTCATATCCGATTACCTTGAACAGATTGGTAAATATCGAATTTTCTTTATTGGATTGTTTTAAAATTTAATTCTTTTTTTTAATATAATTTCCTAATTTTTCCTTTATCATGACTATCATTTTATTAGGAAAAGTAAATTTTAAATCTTTTTATAAAAAGAAAACCTATACTAGTTAATTTTATTGTTATTAAAGGTGTTAATTAATGATATTTTAGTTAATTATAGACACAGTTGCGATGAGATGGCCAGGAATTGATTTCTATAAAAATGTTCGATTAGTTCTTACAGTTCCAGCAGGTAAAATATTTATCATAACATTACTTTATACGTTTGTAAATATATTATTAAGTAATATAATTATCTGATATATACTATATTTATATATTATATTTTTATTTGCACCTATATTAGAATTTAATGAACAAGCTATTGCTACAATGAGAGAATGTGCATTTAATGCAAAGCTAATTAATGTTAAAAATACTCAAAATTTACAATTTACAACTGAGCGTAAGTAATGATTTTTATTGAGGAAAAGAAGTTTAAATTATTATACAATAATATATTTTTATTTATATAATTTTTGTTTTTTTCAATAGCTGAGGCCGCAGCAATACATTGTATGAAAGTTTTGAAAGAGCATTCACTTACAGAACCAGGAAGTGCGTTTATAGTTTTTTTTAATTATTTTCTCCAATTATAAAGAATTATACCTTACTAGTAAACGATAAGATAGTTTTTGGATTATTATTTATTATGTTGCATTTATATTTATATCTATAATATAGCATCATATATGATTGTTGATTGTGGTGGTGGTACAGTGGATTTGACTACAAGAAGATTAATGGAAGGAGATACGTTAGGAGAAGTTACTGAAAGATCAGGAGGTTTTTGTGGTGGAAGTTTTGTTGATTTAGAATTCATAGACTTTCTTGGCAAAAAAGTTGGAGAAAGAGCCATCAAATTATTAAAGGAAAATCATTATGGTCAATATCAATACTTGGTACAAGAATTTTGTCAAAGAATTAAAATACCATTTACAGGCGATAGGAAAGACTTGGATGGTTTTGAGTTGGATATTGATGATGTTTGTAAAGTTCTCAAGCAATATATTTCGAGCGACAAAAAAGATGAATTAGAAGATAATGAATGGCTTGTTGAAATGACTTTTGAAGATATTAAAGGAACATTCGATCCTGTTATTAATAAGATTATTAAATTAATAAAAGATCAATTAAAAAAAAGTGGTAAATGTTCTGCAATGTTCTTAGTAGGAGGTTTCAGTGAGTCAAAATATTTGCAAAAAAGAATTAGAGATGAATTTCGATCTCAAGTTAATAATATATCAGGTATTTTACATAAGCATATAAAAATATAAATAATGAATAAACTAAATACTAATATTTTGTTAACGATAGTCCCTGTACAGCCAGTAGCAGCGGTGGTTAGAGGAGGAGTAGAATATGGTATAAACATGGCAACAATAAAATCTAGAGTATTGAAGAAAACTTATGGTATTTTATTAATGCCACAATTTCGAGCTGGAATTGATCCACCAGAACGCAAACTTGCACATAATCGTATACAAAAATTCAGTAAGGTGGTTCAAAGAGGTACAGAAGTAGGCGTGAATCAAGAGTTCAAAAGAACTCTAAAACCAAGTTATTCCCTACAAAGTGTCTTCTCCATTCCAATATTTATAACTACAAATGATAACGCAACTTACTGTGATGAACCTGGAATGGAGCTGTTGGGTCAATTACAAATGAATTTACCTCAACAACACTTGGGAATGGATAGAGTAATCGAGTTTAATATGATATTTGGTCAGATAGAACTTCAAGCTTATGCCAAAAATATTAAAACCGGTGAAGTTGCTACTGCAACCTTTAATCTAAAATTTTAATCAAGAATAGCTTGAGCGAGAGGAGCAATAGAAATATGATGAATCTCTGTTGAGCTAAAGCATCGACACTTACATCCAGCTACCCAATAAAAATTTTATCATCATTAATATTATCAGTATTAACATTATCAGTATTATTATTATTATTGCTATTTTAGTTGTAAATTATTTTAATTTTTCATTTTTTTTTTTTTAATTTTGAAAAATAAACAATATTAATAGACGAAATTATGTAAGTTTTTTTAAATATAAACTTTTGTAACTAAATTCCTTCGATTTTAAAGATCCAAATTTTTATTACAACTGTAAAGCAGTATGTGAAAAAAATACCATTCAATCCATTTATCCTTGACTTTAGGCCTTCAATTGGCCACTCAAAATAGGACAGATTTGAAATTCCAGAAACAGTTTTTGAACTGGAATTCCACCTAAATCTTTGATTGTTGATTCTATTTTTATAGCATGCAATATCTAAAAATTTCACTATAATACCTTACTTTCACATGATGTGAATTAACAGTGATTTTTGCTTCAACAGGCTTCACCTACAAATTTCTATATTGTAACATTGATTCCAATTTGCAATAATTCCAACCAATAGTACCACTTTGGGTTATTAATAGTATTGTCACCAATTAAATTTGGGAGAGCATGTTTTAATTGGTGATAACAATTATTTTTATTTTTGTGTGGATCGGAATGATTTTGGATTAGCGGATAATTTTGTTTAAAGAAGATAAAAGTTTTAAATAAAATAAAATATTTATTATTTTATTTATTTAGTTTTTCTTAGTTGAAACTAATTAACTTATCACAAAGTTACTTATATACAATTTAATTAATTAGTAATTCTAATATTTCAAAATTGAAATTTCCGTTCAATATTGAAAAGTTATTTCAATATTGGAAAGACGATTCTTCCTTAATAAAGTTAAATAAATTACGACGTTATACAAATAATTAATAAAAAATAAAAATAAAACGTATTACGGATAAAATAATAATTAACTAAGATAGAATAAAAATTAAGAATGGCGGAATTAGTTAATTTCGGCCAAAAGAGCTTCCAAATCTAATTCCAGTAACAGTATTATAAGAACTACTGGAATCGCCTAACTTTCTACACAACCCAAAATCTGTGATCAAAGCACGAATTGTTGGCATTTCATGATAAGTGATGTCATCTTTCTTGATTTTTTTTATGTGCTTAGAAGTGGCTATCAAAACACAGAATTGTGATAGTGGCCACCATTATCTGAAAAAAATTTGATTCATTTTGGTTTAGGGTCCAATGTTTCAAATTTGCACCGAAAGATGATGCTGTAATGTAAACCAAGTATCTTGCTTGGTATCAGCTAATGACCACATGTATGAATCTCTAATTAGGTGGTTTTTTGTGAAAATTAAATTATGTGAAGTGTCCATCTTCTCTTTCCAAAAAACTGCTCCTTGGTTTCACATGCACTCCTAGGTAAGATTCCACATATTAGAATTACCATTTTCATCAGGTTCTAAAAGCTTTGCTTTAAATTGATTATTTATATAGAATTTTCTTGTCTAGTGAGCCAAAAAATAATATAGTTAATATAGTTTATATCTTGACTCTTCAATTACGTTCAGAAGGTTTTCTGGAAGTATAGCTATCAATTTTTCAATAAACTTAAACAGCTGATCACACACCATGTAACAAGCATGGTGTTCTTGTGTACATGCATACAATTATTGCATTTACATAAGGTATTGTGCCATTTTCAAATCCTCTTTTTAGATGGCATCGTAATTTTTAAGCCCACTCATCAATTTATTCTAATAAAATTATTATTTAAAAAAATCATTGATTGAAGCTTGTTAATGGAACAAATTTCTAAAAAAAAAATGTTGATAAAAATTAATTACACATTTTATTTTCTGAATTATATACCTGTAACCCCTTTTCTATTGGATTAATTAAATTATTAAATAATTCATCAAAATTAGGTGATGTAATATAATGCCGATCAATAACAAACTTTTTTTAAAAAAAATAAGAATATATGTAAAAACTATATAAATAAAAATTGTATCAGAGCCTTCAAATAAAGAGATACAGACATGAAACTAAGAGAAATTATAGTAAATAGATTAAGCTTTTAGATTACAGAGAGTTTTTTTTTGCTAAATAAAAAAAAAATTTTTTTTATATATTCTAAAGAAATTGAAAAAAGATTGCTAATAGGAAAACTTTATAACCAAATGAGATAGGAAAAAAAGCTCTCTGTAACTTTATTATAGAAGACTTAAACAATAAAATTATAAAAAACAAAAGTTATCATGGTTTAAAATTATTCAATTTATTATTAAATTTTACCATAAAAATTTACATTGCATATGCGAAAATAATTCTGGGATGGTTGTTTTGTTTTAATAAGATTTTTTTAAAATTCCAAATTTGTATATAAAATTTTTTCAAATTCCGATAAACAGTTTCTTTTCTTATTTCAATTTTTTAAAAAACTTTATTATAAATATATAATAATGGAATTTGATAACAATAAAAATGGTGGTTGCGGTGATGGAGGTGGTAGTGGTATTATGAATAAAACAGTTAGAATTATTAGCCAAGGTAAAATCATTTATATTAATGGTCATGGTAGTGGCACTAGTTTCATTGGTAGTAATAATAATAAGTGCGGTGGTGACAGTAACTACAACAATAGCAGCAGCAGCAGCAGCAGCAGCAGCAACAATAACAACAACAACAGTAATAATAATAACAACAATAATCATAATAATCAAAGAGGGTCATTTTTTACTAGGGTTATGGTACCAAAGAAATTAAATCCAACAAGACAGAAAGCTCTTAAAGCAATCAGATCAGGAAATTATGAAGAAGCTTTAGAACATTGTGAAAAATTAATTCAGCTTCATCCCAAATCATGTACATATAGGTGTGATCGGGCTGAAGTATTTATAGGTCTTGGTAAGAAATCAAGAGCAATTGAAGATTTGGACAGAGTTCTTAATCTCAAACCAGATAAATCAAATGCTCTGTATTTACGCGGATTAACACTTTATAAGGAACATGATTATAATGATAAAAAAGGGGCAATATATGATTTGTGTAAAGCATTAAAAATTGATCCAAATGATCCATTATTGGCACTTGAATCACATAAAATTTGTATTGAATATTTTAAACAACGCGAAGATGGTCAACTTGAATTGATTAATCATATGAATGCGGGGCTTTTACTAAAACCACAAGATGTTTGGCTACTCAGTAATCGTGCTTCAATATATTATCAAAGTCAATTATTCCCAAGAGCAATTGATGATTTAAATGTTGTTTTATCAATAGAACCCAATAATATTGAAGCTTTACAATTTAGAGCCAATGTTCATAAGAAAATATCTGATTATGAAAAATCATTTGATGATATCAGTAAAGCTATACAACTCTCACCTGAAACCCCTTCACTTTTATTAAAAAGAGCAAAATTGTTTAAATTAAAAAAAGAATTTGAAAAATCATTGAATGATTTAGAACAATTAAGTAATCTATTATCAAATCCTAAATCTACCATTGCTGCATCTCTATTTAGTAATCGTGGTCAAGTATATCAAGGATTATTTAGATATAAAGAGGCATCAAATGATTATACAAGAGCATTAAATTTGAAACCCAAATCATCAACATATAGAAGACGTGCAGAAATTTATCAGATTTTACGACAATACCAAGATGCATTAGAAGATGCTAAATCTGCAATGAAAATTGATAAGGATGATATTAAAGCTGCCACACTTATCAACCAACTCTATACACAATTAAATAGGCATGATGAGGCATTAAATTTATTGGATAATTCATTAAGTAAATCTCCAAATGATGTTATAAAGTTATCTGAAAGAGGAACAGTCTATAAAGCTTTGAAAAGGTATGATGAGGCATTGAATGATTTGAATAAAGCATTATCAATTGATGCAAAAAATATTCCCACGTATCTTTCTAGAGCCAAAATTTACAGAGAACAAAAAGACTATGCTAAATCATTGTCAGATATAACATCAGCCATTAAACTGGATTTGAAAAATTCCAAACTGATAAGAAATCGTGGGAAAATATATACATTAAGTGAAAAATATGATGAAGCAATGCTAGATTTAGATAAATCAATCTCAACTGAGCCAAATAATCCTTCAGGTTATAGATACCGAGGCAAAGCTTTTTCAAAAATAAACAAGTATGAAGAAGCAATGAAAGATTTTGATAAGGTGATGAAATTGAAACCAAATGATCCAAATGCTCTACATGATAGAAGCGAAACATTATATAAGATGAATAAATTTAATGAAGCTTTAAGTGACATCAATAAATCTTTGGAATTAGATGAGAATACAAATTCATATGAATTAAGAGCTTCAATTTATGAGAAACTTGGTGATCATAAGAATGTTATATTGGATTTAAGTAAAGTGTTTGAAGTAAATCCTAAAGATAAAGGTGTATTGTTTCGTAGAGCAAAAATTTATGAGTCACAAGGACAATATTATGATGCATTAAATGATTGGAGCCAATTGGTAAAATTAGAATCCAAGAATTTGGAATATTTGAAGGATCGGGCTAGATTGTTATTGACATTATGTAGATATGAAATCTTAAAACTTCAACCAGGAAATCAAATTATCATTTGCAAAAGGTTGGAAATTTATCAATATTTTAATAAGACAGATGAAGCAATTGAAGAATTGACAAAACTAATTGATAGCACAATAGATAAAGAATTATTTTGTGTTACAAGAGGAGTTCTTTATTATTCTAAAGGAAATCAAGAAACAGCATTGGAAGATTTTGATAAGGTATTAGGATTAGGAAAGGCAAAACCAAAGGAACAAATTACATATACAAAAGACCAGCTTAAGGCATTATGTTATCGTGGATGTATTAATCACTCATTGATAGATTTGAATGTAGTGTTAGAAAATGAACCTGATAACATTTTAGCATTATGTGAACGAAGTTCTATTTACAGAGATCGTAATGATCATGATGGAGCTTGGAAAGATTTAAAAACCGTTTTAAACAATGAACTTAATTCCTCTAGTCAGTATATACTTGTCAATTAACAATCTATTTATTAAATGGATATTATCTGTTATATATATTATATATTATATAAACATGTGCATGTGCATATGTATGATGAGTTATGTATATTGTTGTATAGATATCTGTTAGTTATAGTTGTATATTTATATATTAGTAAATTTATTAATAAAATGAAATTATGATGGCTGAGTCAAAATCAAATAGTGTGGATTTGATTTGAAATTTATCTTTTAAACCAAGAATAAAGGCTAATAATACTGCACAAAGCTTGAAATGTAGCTCCTATATAGCCCTTAAAAAGCAACTTGATCATTTAATTATATTTTATTATATTATCGTCCAAAAAAAAAAAATCTCTGTTTTCCATATAGCAAGCCATAATAAAATTTTTAGAGCCAGATTGGGACTTTTAACAGCAATTAAAAGAAATGGCTAGCCTAAATATTGGTTATTCTACACCAGGTCAGAAGTGTTTCTTTTCTTTACACTTATTTTAAGATTATCACTCAACTAGTATGCATACTAAAGCAAATTCAACAGCAACAGTTGTGTCAAAGTGTTCCCTACAAAGTCGCTTATAACCACTTGGAAGGTTGTGTTAGAAAATTTTTGCTTTTAATTATAAGGGACTGATTTATAGTTATTTATTTGGTCATTTTATCCAATTTAAATATTTGTAAATTTAGATAAAGGCAAATTTAGAGCATATTAATTGATAATCTGAAACTAGAAGTTTGTTCTATATTCCTATGGATACTATTAATAAGAAATTTTGTAAAGTTGGTTAACAAAATCACTCTTTTTTAAACTAACATATTTGAGATCCAGAACTTACTGTGAAAGATCTTAGTTAATCTGAAACTAATGGTTTATTTTATCTATTCTTCCAATAGTATTATTAAAAAGAATTTTTGTGTAAAGTTACAAGGCTATTCCCCTTTTTTAACTTGTTGATTTTTTGAAATCTTGGACCCAGTGACCCAGCTTTTAGAATATTGTTGAGCAAATAAACAGTATAAGGTGTTAAGAGTTGGTTTTTGTGTTTTATCCAAAAAAATTATTTAAAAAAACAAATTCCTAATGCCTAACTTTCTTTGATTTTAGAAAATTGAATAATATTTATTTGATTATAAAATTTTTTTTGTTTACATGTTATGGATGCATCACGTAAACTCTATGAATCATATATGAATTGATCGACGAGGGGGTTCGAATTTTTCCAGAATCGATTTCCATATTGGGTAAATACCTGACTGTAATAAAATTAAAAAACTCTCTGTCAGCACGTTTACCATCACAATCTCTCTTAATTTCATAGTTGTATCTTTTTTTTGAAGGAGGAGATACAATTTTTTTTTTATGTTTATTGAAAAAATTTTATTAGTAAATTTTATATATTAACTAGTTTTGATCTACATAGGCCATGTTACCCCCAATCGAATACATCACGTTGGGAGTAACATAGTAAATTTGTTAAACTTGTGCAACTTTGAGGCTTAATTCCTCCACATGACATATCAAGATGCAACTTTGTAGAGAAAAGGTCTTTACTTCAAAATTACATCTTGATTTTTTGGTCACGCAAGACCAATAAAATTGTAGGGACTAGATGTCTTGCACTGTTAATTTCTTGGTAATACAAATTAAAATTTTAATATTAATTATTAAATTTTCTATTTGTTATTATGTTATTGTTGTAAACAGTGATGTATACCTGGAGTTAGTGCTTCATCTATTAAAATGGGTTGTCCATCAGAATCAATCCCAAACTCAAGTTTGGTGTCTGCAATAATGATTCCTTACTCAAAGCATAAAGTTTAGCCTATAAATATATAAATATAAATAATTGGTTATCTATATAAGCTTTTAAAATAATCAATAAATTAACCTTTGAATATAACTTTTATTTGCATATTTCTCATCAACAATTTTACCAATTAAATTAAAAATCAACATGTTAATTGATTAATTTAAAATAACTTTATTATGAATATTTTCACCTAATAAAAAAAAGTTTTTTTTAAGAAAAACTCACCATGATGCCCAATCTCTACTTTTGTATAAAGGTTTATCAAAATTTTGACATTATTTTAAATTTTTAGAAAGTTCAATGTCACATATACTGCCTTTTCTTTTATATTCTATCCTTAAAAATTAAATTATTATTATTTCTATGATAAATTATAACTTTTATTATTGCTATAGCTTCAATATATGAGACCTCGCATTTTTTTGGTTTTCTAACCAATCTGGCATTTCACTGAATTCTGATGTTATTTATAACATCTTTTAGAAATCCTTGTTGCTTCGTGTGGTGTTTTCTTTTCAAGATTTATTTTAAATTTTATTTTATTTTTTAAACAATAATGATGATAATTTTTCAAAATGCACTTTATCAGTTGCAACAAAAAGTAAAATTTTTCATACAAATCTTATTTTCCAAAAATGCAGCAGTAGTCATTTATTTCGTGTAGATTGGGTAGAGCAATACTGCAGATAATTAAATATGCATGAATAATTTAAAATCAGATCATATACATAAAAAGAAAAGTTTTCTATGTTCAAATCACCTTTAAAAAATGAATAATCATGGAATTGTTCTTTTTTTTTTAATATAATGAACATAATGAACATATGAAAATCAAAACAAATTAATTTTTTTCGCATGAAAATCAAATGAATAGAGATCAAAATAAATGTTCTAATAAAAATTTTCAAAATTTAAAAAAAAAAATATAAAAAGAACAATTTTATTTTTTAAAAAATCTTTTATACCAGAATTTTATTCTCTCCTGAACTTTAAAATCATATTTATCAATTAAATAATTTAAATATTAGAAAACAAACAGTTAATAGTAAGTAAGTTAAATTATTATCCACGTGTACGAAAACAAATGTTGTGTTGCATTTTAAGATAACTTTTTTAACAAATAACCATTTAACGAATAAAAATCTTTATTTTTTATTCGAAAAAAAAAACGGTAGATTCTACTTATCAACATCGTTATTGTCACAATTCTACTCAATTAACAACTATTAGTAAAGTTTATTTAGTAATATCTCTTCTTTCCACTTTACAAACTCAATTACTCCAATCTTCTTTAATCATGTTACCGTTAGTTGGTATATTTGGTCAAAATCAACAACAATCCCAAAAATCAGATTCTGTAACAACACAAGCAGTTCCAATACAGCAACAACAACTAACTCATAATAATAAACATATTCAACCTAGGGCTCAGCAAAAACAATCCACAAATTTTAATTCAACTTACAATGTTCTTGATAATACTAGCGATAATATAAACATGAATAATTATGATTATGGGGATAATAATAATAACAATACCTCTATTATTCAATCAAACCAAATGCCTCAGCCTATTCGTAGAAAAAAACCATCAAACAGAATGAATAGAAAGAAAATCGATCAAGCTATTGCCTTTTCTGCTTTTGCTGTCGAAGAAGATCATCAAGGAAATCATGAATGTGCACTAGATCTTTATCTCACTGCTTTAGAGAATATGTTGGAAGCTATGCCAAGTAATAATAATTTTTAATTAATTTTTGAAAAAAATTATTTATTTATTTAGTTAATCAATTAATCAATCAATCAATTTTATTAATTTTATTAATTAAAATTATAAAAGTTCACGCCGATCAATCAAGAAAAGATGCATTAAAAACTAAATTACGAGACTTTATTGATCGTGCCGGATTATCTGAAGAGATGATCAGTGAGTCATCAGATTCAAAGAATCCAAATCTTTATCAAAATAATTATCATAAATCTTGCTGCGTTGATTCTGACTCTTTTAATAAATATCACTCATCAAATTGTAATAACAACAACATCAACAATGATGATCATCACAGTAACGACATCAATAATGCTGGAATATCAGATCATATAATCCAAGCTGCTATTACTGGCGCAGTTGCTTTAAAACAATCACCAATACCTGATGCCATCACTGCTACTGTAAATTATACAATGAAAAAAATCAAAAATATCGATGAAACTTATGGCTTACAGGATAAAGCTTGGGAAATTTCAAGATCTGGTATAAATTTGGCTTTTGAGATTGATCAACAATATAATGTTCATGAAAAAGTTGGTAACGTTCTATTCACTGGTATAGCTGCTGCTATGAAAGCTGGCATTGCTTATAAAGATTCTCCCTCATATAAAGAAATAAAACAATTGAAAACTGAATATCAGGCTGCTGGTAATAACAATAACAATAGCAACAACAATAATATAGATTATTGTGATAAATAGTATTAAATATATATATTATCATTTGATTAATTACTGGAAAAATTTTTTTTTTTTGTAATTTTCTTTTGGTTAGAATCTGTAATACAAAAATTATTCACATAAATTACTACATTGAATAATAATAATAATAATAATAAATTTATTTTAAAAAATACAACAATTTAGTAATGTTTTTTTATTAATATTGTTTCCTTATTTACATAAAAAATTCTTCTATGTATTGATATATATATATTCTATCAAAAATAAATAAAAATTATTTAATTTATATTTGTTTATAAAATTCCTGTTAATTAATCTCTATCTATTTCAGCTTGATTATAAATTGCATAAATTAATTTTCTTTTTAATTCTGCTTCTTCATTATTTGGTGGAACTATAATACAATTATGACATGTTCTACCAACAGGATAATAATGTGCTTCCTCAATCGGAAATGCATCAAGATTAAGCCCCAATACTTCCCATCCACCAATTGGAAGTCTTGTACAACCAGTTGCAAATCTTAACAATTTCCTACGATCTTTCTTATCAAGATTACTCATAATCCTTAATATCATCGTATAATCCTTATCATTTATTGGTGATTGATTTTTCTTTTGAACATACTTTTGTAGTGTATTTAATGTCCAATCTTCCTTGGTTTTACCACAAAAGAAATAAGTAAACTCAGTTGGTGTCGGTGCTAAATATTTAAGATATTTAAATGGAAACAAATGTTCAAATCCTAATTTATACCAATTTATTTGTCTATTTATCCCTGTATTAAAAAAATACTCTATAAAAATATTTTGATATTTTGCTACTGTTTTACCAGTTTCCTCCTCCTCAAAGTTAATCTCATTAAATGCTGGTGGTGATGGTATATAAAAATCTGGCCAATCATCTGTTGATTTAAATTTTTTTAATTCTCTAACCAATGGCTCATACAACCCTTCTATTTCATCAATACCATAATCATATTTTATATTTTCGTTTAAATCTTTCAATAATAGTGTTAAAAATATTTTGCTCATATTTAAATCCACTATACAATTATTAAATATACCAACTGATGTAAGTGTACCCAATAATTTAAAATTATTTAAAAGTTTACTATATTCATCATCATTATCATCATCATTAAAATCATTGCCATTACTTTCTTTGTCATCATCTCCTTCTATATGTTTATTAAGTTCTCCTTCATCTCCAATTAGTGCAGGATATAATCCTGATTTATATGGTTGTACAAATTCCCCTTCACATACCACCGAGTTATTATTAATCCACATTCTTTTATTTTTCTTGAAAAATTCCTCTGACAAAATAGTAAAGAAATCACGAGTAACTCCAAGGCCTACTCCTCCTAATCCTCTAAATTTGATTTTAAGTTTGTTTGAAAGACTGGTCACCTTTTCAAGTCGTTTCAATGCCCAATCAAACACTTTATCACGTGTTTGTATTTCTTTGTCTTTCCAAATTGGTAACATTCTTTTAATCATATTAAATTCCTTTTTAGAAAATCCAGATATATCTTGATCTCGCTCATTATACATACGTATACCAAAAACTTGTGCCTTAAATAATTTGAATTGATTCCTTCCTGAAACTAAGAATCGATAGTTATGAAAAACAGAATATACCCAAATTGGATATATTCCTGTCAAAATTGCTATTGGCTCTTTTAATTTTTTATTTAAAAGCTCCTCCATATTTTTAAATAAAAATAAATTGCTCTGATAACTTTCATCTTCAATTGTATTAGTGTACAACCAGTGTAATTGTTTTAAAAGTTCCAATGTTGACTTGTTTTTTTCAATAACTTTGCAATCAAGTTTAGGTGGTAAATTTGGGTCTACAACATATGGTTCACTTGAATATTTTAACTCTATCTCATATTGTTGATCCAAGTCCCATTTGGAATCAGCTGTAATATACCAATGAATAGCTGCATAAATTGTCATATCAAGTGGAATACGTTGATCTCCAATATAAAATTGCCAATGTGTTTCCTTATAGGAAAAAAAATCATTGTCTTGGTGTTGACTGTTTGATGATAATGATGAAATGGTACTTGTGGCATCATCATCATCATCATCATCATCATCATCATCATCATCATCATCATCATCATCGTGAAACTCTGCTGGTCCATCATAAAATATATTATTTTCATCTAACCCTTCATTATAGAATAAATCCTCAGCGTGTTCGATAATATCAAATTCTTCATCAAAATACTCACCATTATCATCAACATGATCATCAATTTCTTCATTATAATTTCTTTCGCCGTTTTCAATACCATCATCACCATTTTCAATATCAACTTCATGTTCATCTTCAACTGTGTCAATGTCATTTGTTTCTTGTTCATAATCATTATTATTATTTAGTTCCTCATTATTGTCTCCTTGCGAAATAGAAAGTTCTAACCTATTCTGTTCTGCAAATAATTCATCAAGTTCTTCACGCTCATCCTCATCCTCATCAAGATCAAAGTTTTGTCGCCTACTAGTATATGAGTCACTTAAACCATCTTCATCCTCATCTTCATCTTCTCCTAGTATATTATTGGGTTGTTGTTGCTGCTCCTGCCGCCGTCGCCTCCGCTGTTGTAAATGTAGCAGTTGTTGACGTCTATTAAAAATTTCTTCTGACGAATCATCATCATCATCATCATCGTCGTCGTCGTCGTCGTCGTCGTCGTCGTCATCATCTATTTGTTCTTGTACTGTAAATGGACCTCTTAAGTTTCTTATATCATTATTTCTCATCATAATATTTGTCCCAATGTCACTAAGACAATTATTATTATCATCAAGTTTTATTCTATTGGCTAATTCTCTAAATCTAGTAAATAATTTTGTCGTGATTTTAAGTTCTTTGTCTCGATATTTTATTCTTAATTTAACATTTCCACAAATCATCATTTTAATGCCTGGTCTAGAAAAACTTGTGGATTGTGGTGGTGTGAATTCTAGTACATTATTATCAGATTTAAAAGGCTGATAAATGTTTGACAACATTTCCGAATATATTTTGTCTTCATTTTCTACTTCTTTGTCAACAACAACATCATCATCATCAACAACAATATCATAATTATAATTATAGTCATCCTTATCAACATCATTGGTGTCGTCATCTTGTTCTAATTTATCCACTGAAAAATCAATATAGTTATAAAAATTCTCTCTCTCCATAAAATATAACAATGCTATTACAATTTTTTTGAAAGGTGCTTTCCACACATCAGATTCATTTAAAGGTTTAATAAATATTTTTGTAAATATGTATTGATTTTTAGGATTTTTAAGACAGTAAGATAACTTTTCAAAAAAATGAAGTTCTTTTAGACTCAGATATGATACATTTGTATCCAAAAGAAAACGATACAAGTTTACTAGTTTGTTTTCAAAATCTGTAGTAAGTTCATTTACAATTTTTTCTAATTCACTTTTCTTAAATATGATACAGCTAACCGGTTTTAGACGTTGCTTTTTCTGCTGTTGCATCCTCTTAGAAGGACTTGTTGTTGATGATGGTGCAGCAGTTGCAAGCTTGCTGCTGCTAGTACTGCTGGAACTATCATTATTATTATTACTACCACCAGAATTTTGTCCACGAGTTCTTTGATTATTGTTACTGGATCTTCTACGATTTAGAGTGTTATTGTCTAGATTACTTCTTCTAAAATTATCTCTATAATCTGGGTTGGTTTTTCGAGTTCTTAGGCCATAACGTTGATTATTATTGTTGCTCATCTTTTGATTAATTTATAAGTAAAAACTGTTATACATGTTAAACACAATTCATTCATCACGCTATGACAAAACCGAATGCCTCGTGACATGTCAGTATAATGAAAGAACCAATCAAAATCATTCTGAAAAAAAACATCAGGAAATTAAAACTCCTGGATCAAAATCGACCAGCATCCTCCGTATAATGCTGGCTGACCAATTTTGACCCCAGCATAAGTTTTTAATTTCCAGATACATATGTATATTAATATTAAATGGATCAATTAGTTAATCACAACATAGTGGACATTTGATTTCATTGGCTAAATTTTGTGATATTTTTGACGATCACCATTCAAAAACATCACTCATAAAATTAATTTTTATTGGTTAATTTTATATAATAATTTTTCATTGTTCGTGTTAACAAAGTGGTTTCTTTAATTAATCTTTTTAACAAGGCAATGGTTTTCCCATTTTTTAACAAGGTGAATTTTTTTTATTTGCATTTCTAACAAGGTAATGGTGTTTTTTTGTTTTTTAACAACACAAAATAAAAAAATCATTTATAATAAAAAGACAAGTAAATTCATAAAATTAAATTGAAAAAAAAAAAAGTTACAACAACCATAAACCAAATATTTAAATAATTTAAAATGCCAAAACCTAAAAATCATGGCCCATGTGTTCTTGAAGGTTGTGAATCTCATGGTCCATTTAGAAAATTCACTGAAGCTGCTAAATGCAGTTCTATAATAAATAAAGCATATGAAACTTACAGTGTGATTCAAAAAAAATGGTGGTCACAAAAATATTACATAACTCAATGATTACATAACATAATTAAATAAAAATATATTCATTTGAAAGCTGATATTCTATTTTATTAAATAATAAGAAATTAATAAGAAATTCTATCACCATTTTTTTCTAAAACTAATTCACATCTTCTTTTCATAGACATAATAATATTTTTAACCATCTCCTGGGGAATTTTCTCACATTCTTCTACCATAAATCACTTCAATTCATCAACATTTCTAGGCATCCTTTTTTCAACATTATTCTTCATAATGTACCACATATTCTCTATTGGATTGAGGTCAGGACTGTTGGATGGCCAGTTAATCATATTAATCCTATTTTCAGCAATGAAATCTTTTGCAACATGTGATGTGTGCTTTGAATCATTGTCCTGTTGCAAACACCACCTTCTACCATGCAACCTTTGTGCAGTAGGCAAAAGCTGAGTCTGCAATATGTTGACATAATAAAGCCCATCCATAATATCAGTAAAACAAAATAATGGTGTTTTACCTTTTAATGAAATCCCTCCCCATGCCATTACTTTTTGCCATGATTTCAGCAATCTGTGTGTGAACTGGTCTTTGTCCATATTTGTGCCATCTACGAATTTTGTTATGAAAAAGATCAAATGCTGTCTCATCTGTAAAGATTGTATGGCTCCAATTGTCATTCAAATGAGTTTGTGCCCATGCTATCTGGGCTTCAAAGTGACGAGTGGTTAGCATTGGAGTTCCAATGGGCACAGAACTTCTGTAACCTTTGTTTTCATGTAGTAGGTTGTGAAATAGACACATTATGTGTTACTTGGAGTTTAATTGCAAGTTGGTGTGTTGAAATAGCAGTATTATGGCAAGCAACTTGCCTGATGGAACATGACAGATTTTGTGTAACCTTCTATGGATGACCATTCTCACCTTTATGTTAAATAGAACCAGTTTCTTTTAGTTTTTTTAAGTTGTTCTCAATGGTACGAAGAGGGATGTTTGTTTTTTCATATATTTCTTTTGGTGAATGGATACCATTCATTCAAAAATGAAAAATAGTTTTACATTGTGCTTCTAATTTTGCATTAACCATTTTTTACAAAGCTTAAAAGTTAAAAGGTAAAGAAAAGACAATG